TGATGCCTCTGGAGTTGGGTTAGGTTGTGTTCTGACCCAAAGGGATAAAATGATAGCGAATGCATCAAGGCAATCGAAGGAACATGAAAAGAACTACCCCACTCATGGTCTGGAGTTGGTAGTGGTAGTATTTGCCTTAAAGATATGGAGGCATTATCTTTACGGTACTAAGTGCAAACTTCTCACTGATCATAAGAGTCTTCAATATCTCTTTAATCAGAAGAAATTGAACATGAGGCAACGACGCTAGCTAGAATTACTCAAGGACTACGACTGTGAGATACTTTACCACCCTGGTAAAGCAAATGTTGTTGCTGATGCTCTCAGTCAGAAGGTAAATCTTGAAAAGAAAAGGCCAAGAACGCTGAGAATTGAAGTTGTCTCGACAATTGTGAAAAGTATAAAGAAAGCTCAGGAGGAAGCTTTAGAGAAAAATGACCGAAAGGAGGAACGTTTGGGAAAAACGTTGGTGTTTGATACAAACGGTCAAGGATTGAATGTATTCAAAGATAGGATTTGGGTATCTAAGACGGGAGGAGTAAGAGGTCTTCTGATGGAAGAAGCTCACAAAACCATGTACTCGATTCATCCCGGCAGTACGAAAATGTATAGGGATCTAAAAAAAAACCCTATTACTGGTGGCCGACGATGAAGCTCGATGTTGCTAAGTATGTGGCCGAGTGTGTAACTTGTGCTAGGGTTAAGGCACAACATCATAAACCGTATGGGGGTTTAGAACCTTTACCTATACCCAGGGGTAAATGGGAGGACATTACCATGAATTTTGTGACTAAACCGCCTAGAACAAGGAACGGTCACGACATGATTTGGGTGGTCGTTGATCGCTTCACTAAGAGTGCGCATTTCATAGCCGCCAACGGGAAATGGTCTATGGATAAAATTGCGAATTATTACGTGAAGAAAATTGTGAGGCTTCACAGTGTTCCGTTAACGATTGTATCTGATCGTGATAGCCGTTTTACCTCAAGGTTTTGGAGGATTTTATAAGAGGAATTGGGTACCAAGTTGTGTTTGAATACAACTTACCATCCGCAAACCGATGGTCAGAGCGAACGAACAATTCAAACATTGGAGGATATGCTGAAAGCATGTACCCTGGAATTCCAAGGTAACTGGGATGAACATTTACCTTTAATAAAATTTTTCCTATAAATAGTTTCCACCCAAACATTAAGATGTCACCTTATCACACTTTGTATGGGGAAAAGTGTCGAACGCCGTCATGTTGACTGGAAGCTGGGGAAAAGCAGTTTATGGGACTTGAAATAGTCCATCAGACTGCTGAAAAGTTGAAAGTGATTAGGGAAAGGATGTTAGCTGCTCAAGAGAGCTATGCTGACAAGAGAAGACAACCGATATCATTTGAAGTTGGAGATTCGGTTTTTACTTGAAGTCTCGCCGTGGAAGGGACTTATAAAAAATTTAGTAGAAGGGGGAAAGTTGAGTCCAAGGTTTATTGGACCATTTAAAGTTCTTCAGAGGATCGGGAATCAAGCTTACAAGCTAGAATTACTGGAAGAACTGGAGGGTATTCATAATACCCTTCATGTGTGTTAATTGAGAAAGTTAACGGGAGATGTGCCCGACATAATTCCCATTTCTGAATTAAGGTTGAATGAAAACAAGAGGTTAATGGAAGAACCTGAGGCAATCGTTGACCGTAAGACTAAAAAAAGTTGTGATGTAAGATGGTTGATTTAGTGCTTGTGCGTTGAAAACATACGAATGAGCCAAATCTCACCTGGGGAAAAACGGAGAGTGACATGATGAGTCGCTACCCGTATTTGTTTGCCGATGTGTGATTCCGGGGACGGAATTATTCTAAGGGGGAGAGAATTGTAATGCCCGTGTTTCTAGGCTAGGCATTAATATTGACATAATAGTCTAGGTTAATCTTTGTGACTCATTTTGAAGAAATGAAAAGGAATTATGTGAATATTATGTGTTTTATGTGTTTTATGCTTAATTATTAGGGTTTAATTAATTAAGACTAAAAATGAGCGTCGAAAATAAATATTAGATAAAACCGATATTTATTAAGAAAGTTGTAGTGGTCGTGACAAGGATTACGGATATGTAAAGAATGCCGAAATCCGAGTTATAACGAAGAAGTTATGACCTATCGAAGTTTCGCGATAAACCGGCACGATGCCGAATGTCGTAAAAAGTGAGTTTTTGATAAACTACTTTTTAGCCTTAGTGATATAAACGAAACTCGTAGTGTTCGATAAACCGAGAGTATGTATAAAAAGAACGTCCAAATCTGACTTCGTATGAGGAAGTTATGATTTTTCGAAGTTTCAGCTTAGCAGTAGACAGCTAAAAACTCGAATTTTAGATCGAGTGATTTTTAGCCGACACAACCTAAACGAGAATCGAAGATCTCGTAAATAGTAGCACAACGGTAAAATGTCTGACGAAAACGGACGTCGGATGAAGAAGTTATGAATTTTTAACGGATTTCCTGTCCCGGTCTGTTAAAAATAATAATATAAAAATTAACGTCAAAATTAGCCGACGAAGTCTAAACGAAAGTTGTAGAGCGTAATTTTACCTACGCGTGCATATAAAGAACGTCAAAAACGGAGCTCATATGCGAAAGTTATGGATTTTAGAAGTTTTGGCGCGAAAATCGAGAAAAATCCTCAAAACGAGGAATTTCGCACACGTGGACTTCGGCCACGTGTCCTCGCTTCGCATCCGACGTGTGTCCGGGAATGGCTGAGTCACCGAAGCCACCTGGCGAGGCGTGTCATGTCCTTCTCGAGTCCGAGGTTCGGTCCAATAGGAGGCTGCCCCGTGTCCGATCTCGGTGTGTCATCAGCAGCGTGTCCGAACCGTAGAGCTGTCCGAAGTGGTCCAATCAGAAGCCTCCAACAGACCCCTCGCATGCGCAGCCACGTGCGAGCCCACGTGCGAGCAGGTGCTGCGAGCCCTCGGATCTACGCCACCTGGAGTCTTCTCTGCCGTTAGATCAGGAGCCTCGCACCTATAAATAGGAGGGTGCGAGATCTCCCGGGTATATTTTGGAAAATTATCACTTTTAGCCCCTAAACCCATATTTCTTTCATTTTATCATCCCCCGAAGCCCCCATATCAGTTATAACCCCCAGAATACGCTACGAAGTGCCCGAGAAGCCCGAAAATTTATCTTTTCGGTTTCGAAGCCCGACCCTCGCAGAGCCCGGTTTCTAAATAAAACTCCCGGTTTTATTAGAAACAATCGTTTTAGGAAACGAATTGTTGCCTGATTTTCATTAAATCAAGTGAGTGTGTAGTTACTTTCACCTTACACATAGATATGAAGTATTTTACATAAAATACGTGCTGTGTGAATATATATTGTTTGTTTATTTGAGATGGGTGTTGAAGGAATGATTTATACAGGTTTTTAAATAATTTAAACTGTATATGTATTTTTATCTACGAAAAATGTTGGGTAAAACATGGGTAGATGAAATAGTGGGTGTGATGAAAGGTGAGTTGGATAGATGAGATGATCAGTGATAGAGATCATGAGTTGAGAGTGAGTGGTGAAATGAGATCATGAGTTGATAGTGAGGGGTGAAATATGAGAAAAGCCCTTACCCAAACATTGGCGTGAGTGGTGCAATATGAGAAAAGCCCTTACCCAAACGTGGGCCCCCGTCATTCAGCAGAGTATGGATGACAACCATGGACTATTCTAGATGGTCCGTGGAACACTAGCAGGCCCGCAACTTGTAGGTGTATGAACTATATGTTCATTTGCTGTACTCTAAAAACCCATTGACATGTATTGCAGGGGGGGAATACCTGTAAATAATACTATCGATAAATGAGAGCTATGTACTTAGCACATGTTGAATAAACCTTGGCAGCTATGGACTTAGTGCCCGTTGTATAAACCACAGTGACGATGTGACTTCGTGTCCATTCCTTAGGGAGGAGTGATAGTTGATTCTTAGGGTAAACCCTTAAGAAATAAATAAGATAATGGGGTTGGGGTAATTCGGTTGATTGATTGATGTTTAAGCATATTAAATTATGTATTGTGGGTTGAAAACCCTATATGCTTACCAGACTTCCAAGCCTGACCCACTCAGCTGTTTATATTACAGGTAGAGGACCCCGAGCATAGTCGGATGATGATGATGAGTGATTTTTGGATTATAGGCCAGTAGTTATAAATAACTGTTGTAAGGCTTATAATGTCTTGTTTATGCTTTTGATCTGTATCGGAACATGACATCCCGAGGTTTTGATATAAAAGGAAATTATATATTTCTTAAAGAAAGGTTTGACAAACTTTTATCATGTATTGTTTTGGGGACCAATTCCGCAACATCTTTTAAAAAGATTTCTCTGATTTTATTTTAAAAAGCATAAATCAAATCGGTCTTTTCTGGCCGATTTCACAATCTGTAATTTTTTTTTATCAAATTTATATATGTAGTATGAAATATTGTTATATGAGATTCGATACCATTATATTGTTTTCCATGATATTTAAAACAATTTTGGATCTTGAGATAAACTCTGCAATTGGAACCATAAAATGACATCATTAAATATATAAAAAACCAAATTGATTTTTTTTTAATTTGATTGTGTTAGAAAAGTAGGATTGATATTAACATGGAGTTTGAAAGTTCATATTTTCTTAAAATAGTAATTTTAAACTTGATTTTTGTCAAAAGAAAATTAAGTTCACAACTCATAATGAAATTTAAAAAATGATATGATAAGTTTAGAACATAATGATCATGCTGGTTTTTATGACAATAATAATAATAATCAATTAATAAACATATCGATGAAAAATAATATTCAATTAATAATTCTATATATGAAAAACAGTCATGAAAACCAATATGCCAAATCCCTTCATAAAATCTCTTACTTGATATTTTGTGTTTTTCTCGAGATTTTATTTGAAAACAGAAAGCCCATGAAATCCTATATATACCAAATCTGGGCTTGTGCGCTGTGTAAGTTACCCAATAAACACCCTAATCCGACTACTTCGATTTCTGATTCTTTTCCATCTCGTCTTCCTTTGTGGTGAACGACTAGAGTTGTACGATTTCACAAAACCCTAGAAAGGATAGAACGAGATGTCGAGCCGGAAACATAGAGATTCCGATCGCGACAGGGATAAGGATTCAACCAAAGACTACAAGCATCGAAGCAGCCAGCACTCCGATGACCACCACCGCTCCAAACACGATAAACACCGAGACGCCGATGGAGATGATCGACGTCGCAGGGGGGAACGCGAGAGATCCGAAGATGTTGAAGATCGGGTTAAGCGTGAGAGGTCATACGACAGAGAAGGCAGCAAGGATAGGGAACCGAGAGAGAAATCGGTGGATAACAGACGGCATCACAATCACAAGAGGAAAGATAGAGGTGGAGAGAGTGACGAGGAGGATCGGTATTACGATGCTCGCGATAAACGAACTAGGGTTGCGGATGAGAGAAAGGAGAGGCGGCGGTTTGAGGACAAAGTTGCCGCTGCTGAGGATGACAGAGATAGAGAAGAGAGGAAAGAGAGGAGGAAATTTGAGGATAAAGTTAAGAAAGAAGAGACCAGTTTTATTGATAACGATGAAGATAAACTGCAACAAGAGAAATTAAACGGGGAAACAATGACAACGACGAAGAGCGAACCTAAAGATGAACACAATGGTGGTTCCGATGCCAATGTAAGCTTCTGTTCCTTTCTCTATTTACAACGGAGTAGATCAAATATTTAGGGCTTTTACACATTCAGAAACCATGATTGTTACACCTGTACGTTAATTGTTCTTCTTTCGCACATATCCTTGTTTATTTATTTTGACTTGTGCTTCATACTTATTGTCTGCAGGGTGGTGCACAGGGATCACGCAGTAAGGCATATGGAACCCCACATGAGACCCCTTTGGCATCCAGCCACCCTCCTCTTCCTCCTCCTCCTAAGGTATCTTCAATTTCTACCAAACATGAAAATGAAGGAGTTAATAGTAACAGATCTCATGAGGTTCCTGGGAAATCCAGTACAGATGGGACTTCTACAGATGCTGGCAAGAGTGGAGGCATCTCTCTCGATGCCTTATCTAAGGCCAAAGCAACTTTACTGAAGCGAAAGGAGCTTGCAGAGAAGATGAAGAAGATCCCCATGGTAAGTCATCAATCTAAATATTAGTATTCATTGTTCATCTACTATTTTGATCAATCAATATTAAGTTTGTATAATTTGCCATTGTATAATTGTGTGTTTGTTATTCTGCAGTTAAACAAGGTTGCAGATTCAGCAAGAGAGGGACTGAAAGCTCCATCTAGTTCAGGATTACCCCCTCCTCCACCACAATCTGTAACTGCTAATGCTGCCCCACTTGGTGGAGGGCTGCCCCAACTTGCAGGACTAACTGCCCCAAAGTTTGAAGCTGTAAAACGGGCACAAGAACTTGCTGCAAAGATGGGTTTCAGACAAGACCCTGAATTTGCTCCACTTATAAACATGTTCCCAGGACAGCTGGCACCAGAGGTGACTGGTCAACCTAAGCCTGCAAAAAGCTCCTGTTCTTCGTTTGGATGCATTGGGTAGGGAAGTAGATGAAAATGGCAATGTGGTAAATATACCAAAGTTAAACAACTTGAGCACACTTAAAGTTAACATTAACAAACAGAAGAAAGATGCATTCCAGATTCTGAAACCAGAATTAGAAGTGGACCCTGATAAAAACCCTCACTTTGATCCACGAATGGGAATCGATAAAACCAAGCTTTTAAGACCTAAAAAGATGACCTTTCAGTTTGTTGAGGAAGGCAAATGGGCTAAAGAGGCAGAAATCATCAAGTTGAAGGTATCTACCTTACTTCTGTAATTTCAGTAATTCATTCTTTTCTCATTGGTTTCGTTTTGAATTTTCTAACTGTTGGAATTTTGTGATTGCAGAGTCAATTTGGTGAAGCACAAGCGAGAGAGTTCAAAGCAAAACAAGCACATCTTGCTAAGGCTAAAGCTGAACCTGATATTAACCCAAATCTCATAGAGGTAGCTGAGAGAATTATCATCAAAGAAAAGCCGAAAGACCCTATTCCTGATGTTGAGTGGTGGTAAGTTATTTCAGTTTTACACTTACAGCATTTTATATCTTCTTTGGTAGGTCTTTTGACATAAAAGTCCTTAAGTTTTGTCGGTTTTGTCCCTGTGATGGATTTATGGTTGTTAATGTCCAAAATTTCCCTTTTTTATGTTTTTTTTAAACCTGTAATAACAGGATTCAGGGGACAAAATGGACAAATTTTTTGGCAAACTTAAGGACTTTTATGTCAAATTTGAAAAACATACCTAAGGTAAAAACATAAAAGTTTTGTAAAGTTAAGGGTTTCTTTTTGCAAATTTGAAAAACATACCAAGGGTAAAAACATAAAAGATTTTTAACAAGGGCAAAAATGAAAAAAACTTGGGAATTTTTGGACATTAACCACCAAAAAATCGTCACATGGATGTTAAAACTTGCCAAACTTAACTTAAAAGATTTTTATGTCAAAAGCCCTCTTTGGTATGTTCTTTAGCTTCTGTAGAAAAAACAACATTAAGTTGCACTTTTAGCCCCTGTATTATATTAAATTTTGTCTGTATGGTCCAAAAAAGATTCTTTATCTTTTTTGTCAGTGTGCTATATCAAATTTTCTAGCATTGGTCCAAAAAATAAATCTCTTTGCCTTTTTGGTCCCTATGTACTGTAAAAAAGCAGAGTAATTTACACTTTTGGTCCCTGTGCTATATCGATTTTTCTCGGTATGGTCCAAAAATGAATATTTTTGCCTTTTTGGTCCAGAAAAGTAATCTTTTTGAATTTTTGTAGTCCATCTTTCGCTATTAACTTTTTTTTTTAAATAAATAATTTGCAGGGATGTGACAATTCTTGAACCTGGTACTTATGGAAACCTGGAAGAAGGCGGGCCACCAGAAGACATACTAAAGAAAGAAAAGATAACTTTATACCGAGAACACCCCCGCCCAATCGAGCCGCCAGCCGAACCGGCCCCACCGCCACCTCAGCCCTTAAAACTCACCCAAAAAGAACGCAAAAAGCTCCGCACCCAACGCCGCCTAGCCACCGAAAAAAACCGGCAAGAAATGATCCGGCAAGGCCTTCTAGAACCCCCAAAACCCAAAGTCAAAATGAGCAATCTCATGAAAGTCCTCGGCTCAGAAGCCACCCAAGACCCCACCCGCCTCGAAATGGAAATCCGAAGCGCCGCCGCCGAACGCGAACAAGCCCACGTTGACCGCAACATCGCCCGAAAACTAACCCCTGCGGAACGACGTGAGAAAAAAGAGCGCAAACTTTTCGATGACAATAATACCCTCGAGACGATTGTGTCAGTGTATAAAATCAACGACCTTTCGCACCCGAAGACACGGTTTAAAGTTGATGTGAACGCACAGGAGAATCGGTTGTCGGGGTGTGCGGTGATTTCGGAGGGTATTTGTGTGGTTGTGGTGGAGGGCGGGGTTAAATCGGTAAAAAGGTATCAGAAGTTGATGTTGAAGAGGATAGATTGGAGTGCGGCTGTGGAAGATGAGAATATGGATGAAGATGATGGTGATGATGGGGATGTGAAGGTGAAGAATAAGTGTGTGTTGGTGTGGCAAGGGAGTGTGGCGAGACAGAGTTTCCATAAGTTTTTGGTGCATGAATGTAGGACTGAGAATGCGGCTCGAAGGGTGTTTTCAGATGCGGGGGTTGGACATTATTGGGATTTAGCCGTTAATTTTACGGATGAGGTGTGATTTGGATCTTTTTTGGTTTGTGTGATGAGTATGTTGTTGAAGGTCCAAAACTGGGAGAGATGAGATAGACTTGAAGTAAATTTGATGTTATGTTGAATAATAGACACTTATTTTGTCAATGATCTTATCTCGTTCGTTATTATTGCTTCAAGCTGGTGTAGGATTTATCGCAAAGTGTGTTACTATCTTTGATGGAATTCGTATTATAGAATACAATTATATATAAAACTAACTCTAGCAGGAAACTTAGGATTTTATTGGTGTAGAAATGCTTGACAAAAGAAAAAATATATAATAAACTCTTGAAAGATGTTGGTGGGCATAAAAGCTTATATGAAAGATTCTTGATTAAGAGTTTTTCCTTTAAGATAAAAGTTTTAAGCTCGTATTCCTAAATTGAAATTATAGCATGTAAAAGTAATTAATAATAGTAGCTCATAATTAAGAAAGTGAGGGGTAAAGTTGGATGCTTGACCAGAGGCATTTTTTTCATTCTCTATCGGGATCTATCCGAGGAATTGAACTAGTTTAAAAAACATGTAAGGTTTATAGATCTAAAGCAAAGGGAGCGCCTAATTCTGCAGGATGATTCTTCCATGCAATCTAAAATCAACTAGTGTTATACCTAGGCTTGACAATTGGGTTGGGTTCGGGTTGACGGGTCAGAAATCATAAACTCAACCCAACCCATATAATATATGGGTTGACGGGTTGGCGGGTCACAGGTTGGTGAGTTGGAAACCTCAACCCAACCCAACCCATATAACCCGTTTAAATATATAGGTTTGCGGGTTCACAAGTTAATGGGTCAAACCCAAGTTATATAACACGTTTAATAAATAAGCAACACATTTTAAAAAATGAGGTTTTTCAACATAAATTCAAAAGATGATTGAAGTAATTAACATAAAAAATTATTTTCAACATAAATTCATATAGTCGATAACATCCAAATAAAATGAAAAATGAAAACATTCATAGAAAGTGGATGTGTTCTTCATTCGTGACTCGTGAAAATAACGACATGTATTTTTTCTTTTTCTGATTAATGAACCGCAAATACAGATTAGTCACATACGAATACGGAAGGAATACAATGATACAAAATATTACGAATACAGATGAAAATCAAATTTCATTAATAATTAAATATACCATTTTTTTAAATGTAATATATATATATATATATATATATATATATATATATATATATATATATATATATATATATATATATATATATATACGGGTTGGCGGGTTGACCCGCGAACCCAAGCAGATTACCCAACCCAATCCATGAAATAAATGGGTTGATGGGTTGGCGGGTTGATGGGTTGGCGGGTCAAAAATCTCAACCCAAACCCGTCTATTTTCGGGTTGGGTCAGTGTCGGGTTACGGGTTGGGTCGAGAGTTGCCACCCCTAGTTATACCTGGCTGTTCGTCGGGTTGACGAATTTAAAAAAGATGGATTGATTTTATTTTTTTTTATCAAATGAATGTAGTTTCTAACATATTTACTAAAAATATATAGATTACACAAAAATACATATATTGTCCATGAAGATCATCAAATAGGGGTTTCCTTGCATTTGGTTGAAGTAAAGAAATCAAACTCATAATAGACAAATCATTATCAATAATCAACCCCATGACATAAAAACAACATATCGATTTTACTTTCTTATATAACGTCACACTTTCATTAGTTAACTACCATAACTGAAATACTCTTTGAAGGAGGTTGAAAAAGAGTGGGAATAAGGAGAACTGCCATAACTGAAACACTCTTGGAAGGAGAACTACCATAATTGTATCTCTTTCACCTACAAAATTTTCAGTTTTAGCTCATCCTGCAACATTTGCAATGACTTTATCTCTTAGACCTTCAAGTTGTTTAATCTCTATAATGATAATCTTTTCTTGGTTAATACTTTCATGTTAATTGCTGTAAATCAGACTCTTGATCTATAGATAAAAGGACAAAGATCGCGATCATATTCTATATATGTTCAAGGGTAACTTGGTAATATTAAAATACATGACTTACAACATCATTGAGCCCTAAGATGAGAAAATGAAACTTCTATAATGTCCCCATTGGTTAGGGCCCATAACTTTCCCAATGCCTTTTGTAGCGATTCAATCTTTTTTCTCTCATCACCCATGATTAGCCGGAGTTCATTCGGCCTAAAAATCAATGAATAGTAAATTAACTTTAAAAAAAATTAGTGACATACCTACCAAGAGTGTAATCAGTTTCTTACTCTATTAGCCCTCAACTTTTCAATAGATGGATCTTTGGTTGAGTATATTGACATAACAATAGATCGATTTTTTTTGTATAACATTGTACTTTCATTTGTTCTAATTATAGCATTGTACAATGAAATTCATTACTTTTTGTACCTATATCGTTCATTTGTTCCAATTATACAAACACATACAAACAACTACTTTTCAACAATCTGTTTATATGAACATTTTTTTTATTTTGCAAAAAAAGCAATAAATAACATTATATTATTATTAAAGTTTAAGTAATTCTAGAATTTGTGTTAATAAATGTTGCCTTAATTGGTTTTATTTCTTCTTTTATGGACCAATCTAAAACCCAAAAGGGTATCTTTGTACTGAATCAAGAAAACGGTATTTTTTTTTGAACTACCAATTAATTTGAAAATGAAAATCCACTTCATTTTTGTTTTTATTTATTTGGCAAGAGTATTAGTAGTTTGAACTTTAATTTGATGCTTATTTTTTTCATGGAATTTCATCCTTTCTATAATTCCTTTTGGTAAAATATGACATCTTTGATCCTAAATTACAGTTTATTTTAGTTCAAAACCAAATCTAAACTTACAATAAAAAAATTGTCCATATGGATGGTTCACTTGAACATCTTTTTTTAACGGAAAAAAGATAATATTAAATGCTAACATGTAGCAACCAAAAGTACAAGAGGGAAAATATCAAAAACTTAAATAGAACACATAATGCAATACTAAACCATAAAAAGAAATTTTTCAAAAGAAGCTTAAATTTCACATCAAGACTGAAGCATTGTAAAGATCATGTGAGCTTTTGAATTAATATTTGCAGCAATGTACTTCTAGGGGCAAAAAGGTCATCATAACTATATTTTGAGAGGACCATACCAGCAACTATGCAATCATATTATGATAAAACAATGCCTCCAATACGACATCATCAATGTGATCATACATAACCATGAAATCAAGGACTATGAACATTTAGACTAAAACTTATCACTATCGTTAATTTTTAAAAGGAATCCTAACAGCAACAGACCACACTCTTTTGTCCCATGTAACTACAACATAAAAAAGGTAAAAAAATAAGTCTAGTAATATTTTTGAATCCATTCCAAATAAGCACTGCTTATCATATGCTTGAATAATACTCTAATAAATGTGTTATTCCAAAAAAAAATCTACTATATATAATGAAAACATGATTTTATTAACTTTTAGCATAAAATAATAGAGAGGCTTCCACCATCTCTGTATAACCAATTAACCACAACCAATACTGAAACTCATTCTATAGTTTCTGATTACTGCCATCAGATGCTTTTCCCGAAAATGCTAAAAGTTTAACATTATCTTTGCAACCCGGTGCAAGGCTACCTCCAATAGTTGGAGCTCTATATGTGGTCCAAGTCCATAGTTAAAGCCTCTATTTCTACCTGTTAATCAAAAAAGAGCAAAATGGTCATTTGCTCATATTAATTAAAATAAGCAAGAGCAATTAATATAAAAGATATAAAACTTGTAGAAAAAAATGACAATGATAAACACATAATTCGACAATCTAGCATGTTGTTCCTTAATTCCATACAATTACTATTTTTTCACATGTCACCTCTATCATCTTCTTAGATCTCGTGCAGTACTTGGTATCATCAACTTGTTTCCTTCCTTGTTTGTTTTACATACCCTGCAGGAGATGACGCCTGAAACAAACAAAATTTGCAACATAAAAAAAATAACAATATACTTTCATATTTTTTGAATGATTAATAAGGATATGGCCCTTTTCACTATCAAAAGCTGGTAAATCATTTTCGGAGATGAAAGATGTCATCACATTCAAGGCACCATTTAGAAAATTTTCACTCCTAGCAAACTAAAGTAAAGATTAACCTTTTTGTGATTTGTGAATTGCAATAAAACTGCAAATAATTTTCTTCAGGCTTCGATATGATAAAATAGAAATTATGTAACAGATAACTGGGGTTATCGTTTGATGAAAACCAAAAAGGGCGCCAATCTCCCATATAGATATCCTTGCAATAGTCAAATAACGCTGTCATTTTTTTAATTATTACCAAGATTAAAAAAATATCAAACTTTTACAATATAAAAACCCTCTTAAAGCCCACATTCAGGATTAAACACATTCAATATCACATTATTAAAGTTAACAAACCCAAAATATAACCATTCCATCCATGAAAGTAAAACTTTAACTCCAAAAACTTACCAAAAGTTTCTCGAACCAAAAAATGATGCATCAGTTGGACCAAGGAGTCGAAATCAAGAGTAATGATGAGGTATATGACCACACACCTAGAGAGGCCACGTAGCTTAGAGCCATCCACATCCATGAGTGTCCCCCAACCACGAATGTTCCTGTTAGAGCCATATGTGCAAGAGCCTTATGTGCAACTAGGCACAACTCTTATACCGTTTTTCTATCAGAATAAGCCATGCCTCAATGTTACCCACAGATTATCTGAGGAAGTGATGTCTCTAAAATTTCGGGACAAAAGAGTTTGGTTATCTGTTATGGTAAGAGTGAAAAAGTGTTTACCAAATTAAAACTAAAAAGTTCTATTATATTGGAATTAATTTTATTTACTTATCTTATTAATCACAACGTATTGTCATATGGATACGATTGTTGCTCGAGAGGTGTCCACAAGGCGCAAGGTAGACGATTATTTCGCCTTATTTTTTCAAGTTCTTGCCACGACAGGATTGGTCTAATTTTGCTTCCAGAAACAATCTTTGGCCTGATAAGGGAAAAACATGGTGGGACGTTGCTCGGGTGAGTGACTTATTTCTTACTTATACACATATATTTGACTATATAATTCCTAAGCTTTGAATATTTTTTTTGTTTAACAAGTTTATATTCCAATAAATGT